TAGGTAATACATGCATTTTGAATGAAGATGAGTGTTGAACAAAATTAACTATTATCCTTGAAAATATTAAAAACCAGCTACTTATAATTTTTTTTAACCAAGTTCATATATCTCCATATAATATTATCTATATAAATAATTTATAACCAGACAGTTACAATTATTTTAACTAACTTGTCCACAATTATATAAATTGTAACTATTTATAAACTGTAAGCTGTTGTATATTAAAATTCGTAGTATACTTGCCTCATTTCATTTAATATTAACTTAACGTCTCTCTCGAATGTTTCTTCATTCAATGTATGAATATTACTCATAATCCCAAAGCCATTTTTCTGGCTAATCAATAAATTTTGGAACTGATCCCCAAAAACAGGAAACCCGATGAACGGAATTCCAGCATCTATTGTTTCCATTATACCATGAATTCCCCCATGCGTAATAAAAAGCTTGCAATTTGGATGCCCTAAAATTAATAATATATCAAMAATTAAAAACACCTTAATGATTTAAAATGTCACATAAATTATTACTCAGAATTTCTAACTGTGGAAACCAAGAGTCAACGTAAAAATTATCTGGAAATCCTTGGGTGTCGTTATTATTCCATTTGAACAAAACTTTTTGTTCTAGTCGGCCCAAAACATTTACCAAAACTTTTAGTGAATGTTCTGGTAGTCTAGACACATTTAATATAGTACCGAAATTTAAGTACACAACACCTGCGTTAGCTGTGTTCATGAAATTCTGTAAAGTCTGTGGCACATGAAAAATATTTAATAAAATAAAATTCGTAAAGTTAATAGCCTTTCGTCAATTAATCATACACTCAAATAAAAATACAGTAGGTACCTTACTCAATTTATTTACATGTTGTATGTGAATACCAGGAATTTCGATGAAATTTGGTACGTAAGGTCTTGGACTAAGAATCGCTACATCAGAGTCAATTAAGCTAAGTGATATATTTTCGAGCATCTCTGTCATCGATGGCCTGGTTTCAAATCCAGGATATTGAAAATACGTATCCATTAACTTTTCTAACTGTGGAATATATGTAATTGGCTCGATAAACAGACCGTATAAACCAAATAAAGTATTAATCAATCGATTTTTGAAATCAATTGATACTCCAGCGTTTAATTTAAAATCCTTAATATAAGAAAAATCTGAAGGATTGGCAGCATGGCGAGAAACGGATACCCAAGGTGCTACTGGAACAATACTAACAACTGGAGCACCATATTTATGACCCAATGCAACGGTACATTCTTGGAAAAACGATTCTATGATCACCAAATCAAACTGGGTTTGATCTTCTTTGATAAACTTTTGTACCTCTGGAGATGATACATAAGTTTCAGTGATATTAATACCAATTCCATTTCGCATATATAATTCCTTAAAAAAATATAGATATTTTTTACTTTCTTGCAACACGAGATCTGTTACTAAAATAAAAATACATACAAATTAAAATAAATGAATAGCATTCATAAAATAATTTTATAAAACTTATATTATTATTGACGATAAACAGAAAATAGGTAGTGATAAGGGTGTATTCAATATTGTCGAGTATCAGCCATTAAATATTGCCATTTAAAAATATACGCTTATAAGTGTGAAACAAAATATATTTGTTCTAAATTTCTAATGTATTAATTATTTAAAATAAATGTATCATCTTAAATAGTTCATTGATCGTAAATAAATTACAATCTACTGTTCTATTTATTAATGTTATGTTTTAAATTTATACTTTTATTAGTTTCAATTTTTTTTAATTACCTGATTCAAAATCCAATTCATATTTGGGAACAATTTGTGTAAAATTAACTGGTGGATTTTTTACAAAAAATTTTGATACCACTGTTACATTATGGCCTCGATGTGCCAATTCCAAAAACAATGGTTTAAATGACACGATATGACTCTTCCAAGGTGATGGAACAAAAACCAATATGTTTGAAGACTTTATTTCAGGAGTAAAATAAAATGATATAAGTACCAAYACCGGAATAAATTTCATGTTTATTTTATGCTTCCAAATTGTTCTCTGATAATCTACATTTAATGATAAGATAACATATTTATTTATTTTTTAATCATAATTTACCTAGTAAAATAAAATAAATAACAATTAAAAAATTGTTTTATAATATTAGACTTTGGACAATAAGGTGTTCTGTTATTTTAATATTCGTTTTCATATTTTATACTAATCTAACCATCTCATTTAAAACGTAGATAAACCAACGTGGTTCGTAAATGACCTAAAAGAAACCAAAATTAGCATTTATAATAATGATAGTTTATAAAAAGTCAAAGTGTATAACAGATTACTATAAGATAAGTCACATGTTAAATTATTACAAAAATAATCGTTTTTGAAAAATTATTTAAATATTTAAACAATAAATAATTTATTGTAGTACCTCAACTGGGAGGCTTCTACGCTCTGTTATCCTTAATCCTTATCTATTTATTCATTTATTWATTTTTTTATTGCAATCTTTTACTTMCTGTTGTTCTTCTTCTTTGCAACAGATTGAATAAAACATTTAAAAAGATAAATGATAATTTTGTTATCATTCAAATTTTTACCGTAGATAATAGACAGGATCTATCTATGTGATAATTGGTTTTAGTGTTTTACGCTTATACTTTACTCAAGGTGGATAATAATATAATAATATAAATCCACCTTGACTTTACTTTCTAAAGAATAATAGATTACGAAGAATTAAACGATAAAAACAAATTAAAATAATCATTAATTTATTTATAATGTTTTATTTCATTTTAACTATACTTAACTTTCTGGATAAAAATTATTTGTCTTTATTAAGAAAAAAAAATACGTAAGTACTTATTCATATAAATCTGATCTTTTCAGAAAATATAATTTGTTATTTAAATTTGATTTTAATAATAATTTATTTACTTACGTGTAAAAATTGTAAAATAAATCATATGTCTTAAGCTAAAACATAACTGATTTAATGATTGTAAACAGCATATATCAGTCAATAAGCCAACAATTCAAATTAAACAGTAAGAACTTGAAAATATGAACATAAATGAGATGTTATCAAAGTAGCAGTAGTGCGAAGACTGTTACTAACATAAGAACAATAGTAGGTCAGAKGCCACATCAAAATCTAAAATACGTATGACCTTGAAATATATTTTCGTTTAAAATTTAAAATTTTTTTTATKAAGCCATASCGAATAAACATAAAACGAAATACTTACTATTTCTATCAAARAACTACAGATAATAAATAATATGATATCGATACCTGTTTCGAAAATTTTAAAAACTAATTCATGCATGTATGGATTGACGCAATTAATGGCAAGCCCTAACAAAAAGTAGGCCTGAAGTTAAAATCATATAATTCCTTTTTTCTGTATTATAATTATTAATTTATATTTTAACTTTTCGGTAATAGAATAATATATAAGTATATTATATGGGTAATTGAATTTTGAAAAGAAAAAAAAACATCGGTGGCCTGGTTAATTTGAAGGCCACCGAGATCTGTGAACATCTGAGAGTAACTACTAACTAGGTAGTATCACACATAGTAAAGTAGTAATATAATCTTGAAACACGTTTCAACCAAACTTACAAAATACATAATATGTTTATATCTATAAGAATACTATTACAATGTACAAATGTATAACATTAGATGATTTTGGTTAGAACTAGAACTTTCTAGTTATTAGTTATTTATAGTTAGTATACATCTGCAAATTATTACAATAAAATTGTCACCTTATAAGTTATACCTAGCTACTATATTTTGTGATATTTTTTAAACGTCATAAACAAGTGATAATATATTATAATATGAAATCATGTAAGACAAATAATTTATAATCTCACAAAACGTTAATTTATTTTTGGTTTAGTGAACAAATTAAACATTACACTCATAATCCGTTTAGTAAGAAAATAGCAAATACAAATAAAAAACAATAAAACTATAATAAAAAATGTAATAACGTCTAATAAATAATACTGGTACCACGTTAAACCTACTGCAGTAGAACGTAAATGATGAGCTCCTTTATTTCTGATTACGTATTCTACCCAATATACCGCCGTATCCATAGCTGACATCGATCGATCATGGAATATGGAAGACATTCTTTTAACATTTTCAGAAAACCTTTAATAACATTTTATAGTAAAAACAATTTTACAAAAAATTTACATTTTTAAAGCAGAAATCATAATATATTTAATATTTATAAATATAACTCTTAAGCTTTTTATAATATAGCATAGATACAATATGTAATATCGTACTATTAAATATTTTTAAACGTGAGTATTATTTTTTTAATTTTTTTTTATGATTAGGGCTTCGACAACTGAGGTCATTAGCCTGGGGAACTGTAGGGGAAGGTACTGTAAGGTTTTAACTCGTGGGTTTTTGGCAGAATTTTGAGTGGGCACCCGTGGGTTTCTGCCATGCCCGGTTGGGGAGTATTATTTTATTCAAATATTTATTAATTAAAACATTGAATTTATAATATTTATAATTTAACAAATTATTATTTAATACTATTTAAAATTCAACACTTTAATATATATTTGTGTGCGTGTGTGTTCGTGTATTTTTATAATAGTAAGTTTTTAATTATAAACAAATTTTCATTCTTTCAAAGTGACAGATTTAAAAWTTTTTAACGCTATATTATTTAATATACACCACAAATATCAGTTTTTCGTAAAATTGTATATTTTTTTGRATTCTGGGTGGAGCAATAAATGTCTTTATTATAAAATGGATGTTGTATTTTTATGATTATTGTTATTACTTTATTTTTTGTGTATGGATAGACAAAAAATAGTAGGAAAAACTTCGATTTTCAAATTTATGGTTTCTATTGTTTCTAATATAAGATTGAATCTAGTTGGTACTTTTGAAGATTGAATATTAAAAACTCATGCAAACATTTTCAAAAACGCTAGGAAAAACAAAAAAATAGATTAAGAAAAAATAAGAAATTTTATGCAAAATTAGTTTTTGTATTTCATACAATTTTAAAAATATTTTATATTTTTTAAGCTATTTATAAATACCTATTAGACATTTTTTTTTTTTTTTTTTAATCAATAGAATTTTGGCAACAAAAATGATACCAAAGGTTAGGTTAAGTTATAGTGGTTTAATGAAATGATAATAAGTTAAAATAAATAAATTGGAGAGGATTTCTAAGACATTGTTTTACAATCATAGACACCACTTCAATCATTCACTTCTTTTGTAATACCTATAGCTCATCATTATATGTTGTTAATTAAATCGAGAAATTTTTAAACGGTAGTTTGTTTCATTTCTTCAATATTTATCTTTATTACTATTATTATTATATATATATATATATTTTTTAATTTTATCGAATAGGTATTACAGAAAAATTTAAAAATAAACTTTCTAAAAATACAATCTTTGTTCAACTTCAAATGTATAAAGTTAGTCTATTAAAGTCTTTGGAGTATGTTACTGATTCAAAAGTGCTTAAGCCGTAAATTAAAAATTCTATCGTAATTTATAACCAAAGGTTAAATCAATAAATTATGATTGTATAAATTGAAAAGTTCAAAAATTTTCAATGTCTTCCGTGTCACTTCCTTTCTATTTAAAAAATGTATTTTTACTTAACAATAAAGTTATATTTGATTTACAATTACTCACTTCTTATTATTGATTATAAKCTTTATATCTTTTTCAAATGTCTCTTCTGTCATCGTAAAAATATTACTCATAATACCAATCCCATTTTCTTGACTGATTCTAACATTTTGAAACTGGTCCCCGAAAACAGGAAATCCAATAATTGGAATCCCAGCATCTATTGTCTCTATAATTCCATGAACTCCTCCATGAGTAATAAAAATTTTACAATTTGGATGATCTAAAATAAATTATATTAAAAACGTCAAGTCTTTACTAAATATTATTATTTTAAAATAAAATTATACTTAGGATTTCTCTTTGTGGGAGCCAAGAATTGACATAAAAATTTGCTGGAAATTTTTTAGTGTCATTATTAATCCATCTAAACACAATTTTTTGTTCTAATCGGCCTAATACATTAATCAAACTGCGCAGAGACAGTTTAGGTATACTTGTCACATTCAATATTGTACCAAAATTGAAATAGATAACACCGGTATTAGCTTTGTCCATAAAGTCTTGTAGTCTCTATATTATACGAAAAATTCCATGTTTTGTATAAAAACAATAAATTATCATTGCTTGGTAGTCAAAAAAATAAATACTGGAATAAAAAAATAATCAATACCTYGTCCATTTGCGTTTTAGGTTTAATATGGATACCAGATACTTCAATAAAACTTGGAATATATGGTCGTGGACTAAAAATTGTTGAATCAGAGTCAATTAAACTGAGCGATATGTTCTTCAGCATCTCTGACATTGTAGGCCGGTTTTCATATCCAGGGTATTGGAAATAAGTATCCATTATATTTTCCAATTTCGGAATATACGTAATGAGTTCAACAAATAGACAGTAAAACCCAATATAGCAATTAGTGAATCGTTCCCAGAAAGTCATTGACTTACCTCCATCCAGCATAAAATCCTTAATGTATGAAAAATCTGTAGGATTTGCTGTCCATCGAGATACGCTTACCCAAGGAGTTACTGGAACGATTGAAATTACTGGTGCTTGGTATTTATGACCCAGCGCTACAGTGCACTCTTGAAAAAATGATTCAATGATGACTAAATCAAACGCTGATTGATCATATCTAATAAATTTCTGCACTTTTGGGTCAGATAAAAACATATATGTTGTGTCGACTAATATTGTGCTACGTGTTATTGGATCTTCGAAAAATGAGTAATGAATGCTCCGATCTCGCATTAAGAAATCCGATCCTAAAAATCAATTATTTAAAGAATATACAAAATTAATATTTAGTAAAAATATCAAGTAATTATCAATAATATTTTATCATTATTAATAATCAATATAAATATTAGGCATTAATTAAATATTTCTATGAATTTTGTTGACTCTGTCTTACTGCTATAATAGCCTATAACACATAGCAATGCAAATTCAATGCTCAGAAAATTAATTTTACTTTGTTATTTTTAATATTAATGTAAATCTGCTTATTATAAAAATTTAATAGTGAGTGATAATATATTATTCTAAGGCCTGGCGAAGAATTTTTATAATATTTTGATTTTTTAAACCAATTAAAAAGATTTTAAAATATAAATGAAAACTWTAAACTTTAAGTTATGAGAACTTGCTTCTAAATAAAAATTGTATAAAAGCTAATGAAACTTTGGTTAATATTTTTACTTTTGAATTTAATGTAATATTAAAAATAATAAAATAAAACAGATCCTTCTGAACTTAAAATATACTATGATGCATTAGTAAGACGGAAAAAACACATGTAGATATGATGGCCTTGAAAATACATTTAACTTACTTCCATCAATATCAAATTCATAAGAAGGAATCAATTGTGTATATGTAGGTGGTGGATCTTTAACTATAAATTTTGATACCACTGTTATATTATGACCACGGTTTGCTAACTCCAAGAATAATGGTTGGAAAGAAGTAATATGACTTTTCCATGGTGATGGCACAAAAACAAGTATATTTGAACTTTTTATTGCACGTACATAAAAGTTTAATAAAATTACCAATATCGTAATGTATTTCATAATAGTGCTTTATTTTATATTCTCAGTTTTCATGTGTAACCTGAAAATATTATAACCACATGAATATTTATTAATGTTATTATTGAGTACCTACCTAATAACTTATAGAAAACGCATAGAATATTTATTAATAGTATGTAATTTAAAATACTATGAACAATAACAAAAACAAGGAAAATCCTTTATATTATACTGAATAGGTATATTTATGAGATGTTTATCAATGTCCCATTGCACACAATCTCATATCGGCGTAAAAAGAAATAATCTCGGATATCTTCTTGGTTTATTTAAAAAATTATAAACTTGAATTCATTGACATTGGACTGAACAACTTATTTTAAGTAAATTTAGTATCAAATATCATAATACGAATAATTTGAATAATCAAAATACAGTTTTGTGCAATCAAAACAATCCGTTATTATTATTGCTATTATTTTTTTAATTGAAAAATGTCGTATATAAACAGGTCTAAATTTAAAACCAATCTTGCTGACGTTTCTCAAAAACGACTTAAAGCATTACAATTTTCAATTTTCTTAACAAGTATAAAAACTATTAAGAATATTTAAAACTATACTTCCTGAATAAATAATTTACTTAATATATTCAATTTAATTTTTTTAATAGCAACTTATATTTTGTATTTCATATTTTAAAAAGAATATACAGAGTGTCCCGCAAGGATTTGCCCATTGTGATATCTCTCGAAATAACSAAAGGTATTAAAATTCTAGTTTTATAATAAAACTCGCAGGAATAAAAAGTACAACTATTTACAACTTTTTCAAATATGAATTTAGTTTAATGTTTTGGTAAAAAATTTAAAATATATATGTTTTTTTTTAWWTAYTRACGTTCCAAAATTGTATTTTCATTAATTTCATGGTTTTTAATATTATTTCTAGTTTTGAAAAAATAAAATATGATTATAACTAGGCATACTAAAAGTGTTCGGCCGGCCGTACAAGAACATGTTTGATAAGAGATAACAGTACGGTGTTAAATAATTTACAATTTTTCTCGAAACTAAAAAAAAAATTAAAAATCAGGAAATTTATGAAAATAAAATTTAGAAACATCAATATTTCAAGCAAAATAAACCCTAAAAAATGGCTTTAGTAAATTTTTTTGGAAATTGATAAAAAATTATTTTTTTAAACTTTTTTACTAAAACATTAAAATAAATTAGAACATGAAATAATTGTAGTTATTGTCCCTGTGAATCTTATTAAAAAACCAGGATTTTGATAAATCTCTATTATTTCGGGAGATATCGCGATGGATAAATCCTGACGGAACACCAGTATTTCCCAGAACATTTAAATAAATACATAATACACATAGAAATTTTAACTAATATAAATAATTATAAAAGACATTTTCTTTTAGTCTTATTCTGCTACATAATTTGAATTAATATTGAAATTAATGAATAATATTATGGAAAATADAACAAATAATATTAAAATACTATTTCTAGAAAATAAAAACTAAAAATTAAACATTCACTTTATTTCGACACCTAATACGCGTATCGTGTTTAATAATAGAAAATAGATAACACAAACATTTATTTTACTTTTATGGTTCTGTAGRTTGTTTGAATACACTTTATTCTATGATATTATATACTTAATACACGTAAAATATACTGCGTATTTAACCATACACGTATTTAAAAACAAAAACAAAATATTGCAACATTTCATTAATTAATTTTTGTAAAAACGAATTAAAAAAATTATAATCACAAATCAAATCACATGGTTATAGCAATGTTACTGATCGTATAACGAACATCTCTCTTGTGCTTTTGTATGATACTCACTGATGCAGTTATTACTATTTACTATATAGCAGTTCAAGGCTAAAATTCTACTATTACGTTAGGTCCTTATACATGTATCAACCAGAAGTATTAGTATGTGTAAAAAGAGTTTAAATTCGACTCAATTAGTTTGCTTTTATGACGGCGGTGCAGATGCTATACAAAACTACCAACTTTCAAATATAAAATAAACTTACACAGACTATTCCATTTATTCTATTGCATTGGTAGTCGATACTAACTATATCCCAGTACTACATTGCATGTATATTTAAACTGAATTTTATTAATGAATTTTACTTAACTATTAATTGCAGTATTCAGTAATAATGTTGTTGAATGTTGAATGTGTACGGCCATAAGTTATTATTATGACATTTAAATAGTTATATTTTGAATTTATTATATATAAATAGATAACAATCATGCCTAAACATAAAATAAATATAATACGCAACATTATTTGATTTAAAAAGATACGCGTATAGTGTACTGATGTATATATTTTTAGCCAAACGTGGACATTAACATAGTATAGTTTAAAAAAATACAAGTTTTCAATGGAAAATATGATCACCTTGAGATTCATTTAAATTCGATTTAAAAGTACTTAGTTATCTTATAGTAAATAATGATTGCTCAAAATCTAGTAGCTACATTTAATATTATATTTTTATATTATTTTGATTTTATGAATCAATATGAAACATGTTGCAAATTTTACAAAGTAGTTGAATACAAAAGGGAAAAAAGTATTTAAAAAAAATGTATTTATTGTATATAATATATATATATATATATATATATATATAATGTATAAATAATGTATTTATTGATTATTCCTTTATATTGACCCGACAGGCGATAAGGATATAGGTACTCCCTAACTTGTATTATTTAACCTAACATAAAAGTTAATCTAACCAGTATAAAAATATACATAATATCCTACAGATATACACTATAATATTAGAAAAATTAAAAAAATACTTACAAAACGATACTTCAGTAAAAGGTAAACAAATTGTCTTTATAATAGTGAGCATGATGAATAAAAATCTATGTAGGTAAGTACATTGTTCACATATAATATACAATTTTCAAACTTATAATTCAGTATTAGTCATAGTACCTATTAAAATAAAAAGATAACGATCACTGACAAAAACAGATGGAAACAAAATGTATGCACATATTGTGTATGATCAGTGGTATGTCATATAGTCATGTTATTTATTKGTACCTTGTTAATAAGGCAGGGAAAATGTAAAATATTTATAGAGCATTGACCTTTACCGGTATAAAAWATAATGGTAAATCATTGAAATTGTATGATTATAATTTACTATTATAATATATTATGACTATTGAATAAGCAGTAATGAAGTTTATTTACAGGATTTTGCATTTTAAAATTTGTCTTTGATTTCTTCTAGAAAATATTATTTAGTTTTTTCGTTGAGAGGTAAATAGTTCCAAAAACATTTAAATTTAAATTTTGAAAAAATAGGATACTGAACAAAATAAAACTCTTATTCGTCTAACTAATTTAGTTATTTTTTTGTAATTCAAAAAATATTAATCCTAAAAACTTGAAACTTCTCGCCAATTCTTATGTTATTATTTAATATTAAATTGACATTTTCAAAATATTTTTAAAATATTTATACCACGAACCTGTAACCTTATATTTACATTATTCTACTAAACGTATAAATTGACTTAAAAGTTATAAGTTAGGTAACGACTATTATATAACATTATATAATTAAATATTATTGACCTAACATTATATTATGTGATATTTTAGACACAAAGTTATTTCAACCTTCTATGCTACTGATAATAACATAAGTAAATTAAAAAATATCATTAGATTTAGATGCTTATAATGAGGAATTAAACCTCTCTATTCAGAATCGTATCCGTATGAAATTGTTTAGCAATAAATTCAAATTGAATTCATCCACTTCTAGATACAGTGATTGATACAATGGCGATCAGCGATCGAGTCAATGAAAATACAGCAGAGCGAATGAATTCTATAATTTTTGTGTATATATTTCAATATGTTTATTCATCGCATTAGCTAAGGCATCTATTAAAACAGTGATAACTAACAGGTATTTATGTATCATTTTACCTATTCATTGATTATTTAAACAATGTACTTATTAWATGATAAGATGGTAAAACGTGTTAACGATAATCACTTTAATGATTAAGCACTTAGCTTTTGTAAGTTGAATAACATCATTTAAATTAKTTATATAGAACATATAAATACTTATAAACTATTATTATACATACTTTATAATTACTCAAATAATTTCAAAATAATAAAATTTTGTTCAAACATTTAAATTAATTTAAAATAATGAAACATGATTATAATATTCGAATTAACACAATTTCTATTTATACCTAACTAGTCTTCAGAATTGAAATTTCTATAGTTTTTGCATGACTAGGTATTTATTTTAACTATTTAATTCTAACGCGACAACAATAATAATATTTTAAATAGAAAAAGATATTATTAGTATGTTTAGTCAAATCAAAACAAATAAAATGCAACTTTGATTTTGTGTTAATAAAAATTTGAGATAATCATATAAGTATTTAAAATTTACATTATTACTTCTGTTAATTATTTTAACAGCTAAAATAAAGTGAAAGTGTATTTGTATACCAAATTATTTATGGTTATTAATAATAATAATAATAATAATAATCTGATTTTTCCAACATTTTTTATAATGWGGTTATTTAATAATATCACGCATACGTGTTCAGTGACGTTCATAAATATTTTCAATGAGAGGGGGCTATAAAAAAAATTATATGTACATATATATGCATACATCACAATAATTTTAAAATTTATTGTATTCATCTAATTCTTCTCCCCCATGTGTACGCCACTGAACGCGTTTAGCATAATATTGGTAATAAATAATATGTGTAATTCATATTTTAGTGAAAATATTCGCCAAATAAATTATAATTTTGAACATTTAATTCTTTTTATAATTGTACTAAGAAGACCTTAAAAAGGTTCATAAGTGTTGTTATTAGATACTATGATAACTAAAAATAAAAAATATTTATCTTAAAATCATGTTTATATTAATATTATTTCCTAGCCAATTACATTAAAGTATCGTAGTTCAATAGACGTTGACACTAATAATTAATTTCTTGAATAACAAGTAGTTATTTACTTACACACATATTTTAGGTGTATTATTTTACTGTTTAATGAGTTAGAAAAATACTGATTTTAACAATTGGTGTCGATAATATTACTTATTACTGGTCAATCTTAAATTAATTACCAATAGATCAATTCTTAGTTCTTAGATACTAAAAAAACCACAACTGTGCAATAAAAATCATATAGCAACAAAAATTGATTTTAATTGATTTTTTTAAATCATAGTCCATATAGAACAACTTACTATGAAAAGTCTATAACAAAAAAACCAAACACAATTTTAATTAGAAAAATGGGCATAAATATTACTTATTTTGCAAYATTTTAGTATTTAGTCACTATTTTCAAAAAAATAAAAAATAATACGTTTTCGAAGGGCCTACAGCTACCRCTCGTTTTTATTTATCAATCTATAAATTAAATAAAATTAAACATTTTATCACTATCGTACCAAAACAAATAGATAATTAAATGATTAGAAATAAAATAAATTATTGTAAACTAGGATTTCATTGTTATACTGCAAATATATAAGCTAATTTGAATATTTATAATTTAATTTAAATCTGTTGTCTGATGACGTGCAATGAAAATAATGCATAATAATATAATATAGTATGTGGGAGCTATGTTATAAATGTATTGAATAGATTTTAACCTTCTTAAAATGCTTAAAATATCTGAAAGTTGAAACTGATAAAATAAAACTATCCTAAATATATGGAAATTTAAAGATAAAAAAAGAAATAAAAGTTATTCTTGATGACAAAACGATATATTGATTAAAAAAATAAACCTCTGGGTTGGTCTAAAAATGGGAAAAGTCGATTATGTTTATGAGTTTCTACTCACCTTAGCAAAAAAGTTTTCTGGCCAATACAACTAAATTATTGCACAGACTTCAACATAAATAATTCAGTTCTAAGGTCAATAAAAACCCAAATGGTTTTTGATCAAAAGTTTAGTAGGGACATAAACTAATTTTTGACTTCTGAATAGAAGTGAAATCTTTAAGTATAAAACCAAGTATGTTCTATAAACATTATATTTTATACATAAGTCTTTTAAACTACGAAAACATTCAGTTTATATCTTAGTAAATTAAAAAAAAAAATAATTATAATAATTAAATTAAGAATACTAAGTAGTAACTAGTAATTATCCATTATTATTTAATTTTATATATTCTCAACAATACTGAATGCTTTTAAGATGCATTACCAAGGCTTATAGTCCGAGTGAATTTAGGTCAGTTGAGATTGAGATTTTGAATGTATTTTTTTTTAATTACTTTATTTGAAAAATATATTTAAACTCCAAAGCTTATCTTTAAAAACTATAGTGAACGTTTGATGAAATATTGTTTCAATAGTGTCTATAGATAAATAATAAATATTGATGTAACATACATATTAATATATTTAATTGTGTTCTAGGTGTCGTGACCTCCTACAATTATCAAGTTAAAATATACAATATATATATATTATATACATACAATTCCAACCATCAATAATTAAAAAACAAAATATATTATATAAATTAATAATAATTCATGCTAAGTGTTGCCAGTGGGCGGCTTCTTAATCAATTTATCACGTCCTGTCTGCTCTTATAGCACATAAGCTTATGTACATGTATATGTACAATATACTTGTATTATAGATTGTTTATTTCTAATAAAATAAAAAAATTGTGTTATTTCAACTTCAAAAACTTTTTTTTTATCAATCATATTTATTAACTTTAAAAATAAAGTCATATATTATAATGTTAGA